TTTTTTTTTTTTTTTTGTATGTGCAGTGGACTCGTGAAGGAATGGCAACATTGGCTGCACTGAATGTCCTGGTAATGAGATCTTCATATTTCAAAACCCGCGTAATAATTGCGATTTTACCCTGAAGTTTAGCCTAATTACAATCACCCCCCAGGAGAGCAAATTAGCTTGGATGGAAGTAGATTTAAGCCTTATTGATAGTGGAATTTGTGGAAGGAAAAAAGAAATGTTATGTGATAAGGGTTTTATTATTTATAAGTCTGTGAAGATGATTGAATCTGATTTAATCTTTTGTGATTAGGTTTAACTTAAACATCAAATGTAGCAGTTTGTAATAAACCCAAAAAGGCATGTTGAAAGTCGGATCGATTTCCCAAAGGTAACAAAAAATACATCACATAATCTTCGGCTCAGACCTGACAGCTAAGGCTATGTTTGGTGAACGTAGCTGATAAGCTAACTTATAGCTTTCAAGTGAATTTCGAGCTTATAGCTGATAGTTTATATGACTTATGGCTGAAAAACTAGCTTATATGATAAAAGTGTTAGATAAAACTAGCTGAAATGAAAATTTCAATGGGCTTATTTGAAAAACAACTCAAAGAAGCAGCTTATGAGATAAGCTCGGGAAAAACAACTGTATCTTACTATTTTATCTGGCATAAGTTTTTTGTTTCGGTTTTTACAGGGAAAAATAAAAGGATACCCAATTTGGGCCGATCCTAACCGAGTAGACCCCTTCCTGGATGAAAAGACTCCTCCACCGGCCGCATGCCCCAGCATTGTTAACTCAAAAGCTTTAGGTACTATCATTATTAGTTCATGATCACAAGAAGTTAAGCGAATTACGACTAAAAAACAGTCGAGCGACAAAGAATCGGATAGTTAACACGGCTTTCTTAATCGTAATTTGTTGCAGGCTTGCCCGTTTCGAAGCTGTAACTGTACATATACTTGTTGTGAACCTCTGAGTCTTCTCTCGAGGAAGTTTGAGGATACACTGATCGGTCAGCTTATTGTATTTTTCCATTGATGAGAGACAAAGAAAACTGGATATAGTTTGTATTTACATCTGAGACTTTCTTATGCTATTAATATCTTGTTTTAACTTTTATAATATTTGATGACATTCTATATTATAAAATTAACAAGTATTCCTTTAATATAATCTAAATTTATAAAATATATTTTATATACGGATTTTTCATATATTTTTAATATGTAAAAAATAAATTAAATATATATATATAATAAACATTAATGTAGATAAAATTAAATATTTTTAGTATGCAGTAAATATTGTCAAATACATATAAATATTTCTCAACTACTAATGTAAATAAAATCTTAAAAATATCAAATTTTAATATATCAAAAGAATGAAAAAAAAAAAACCTTCTAAAATTAACATGTCTTATTTCCATATAGATAGAAATACATAATTATTTTAATTTTTTTTTTTTTTTAATCAAACCTATTCCCACTTTGCTTGCAAATACAAACGAAAATCTAGAGTTTGACAGCAAAGCAATCAGTAAAACTAAAACCTCGTTTGCCTAATTAAACTCGGATTAGGAAAAAAATTAGAGATTAGTGACTCTATAAATACTAAACCCTAATAACACCCTAAACCCCACCATACCAACACGGCCACACTCCCCAAATCCCCCCAAATTCCAAATTCTAGGGTTTCCAATTCTCTCAAAACGATGTCTTCGTCAGCTTCGTCCTCCAACAAGAAGGTTATCGTCCTGAAAAGCTCCGACGGCGAGGTTTACGAGGTGGATGAGGCGGTGGCGCTCCAGTCGGAGACCGTCAAACACTTGATCGAGGACGGCTGCGCCGACAGCTGCATCCCTTTACACAACGTTGAGTCGCAGGTACTCGTTAAGATCATCGAGTACTGCAAAAGCCACGTGAACGACGCCGCCAAGTTAGCGGAGGATACCTGGCTCGACCGATCGGCGGACACGAGCCGCTCGGAGTTCGACAAGACCTTCATCGACGTCGAGGATCAAAAGATGCTTTTCGACCTCATCCTGGTAATTTTCGGCATCTGATAATTTTAAATAATACATAATGCTTGCCTCTAGGGATTAGCGAATTTTATATATATGTATATATATATATATACAAATTGTTGTACTAAGTTTGATGAATTTTCTATTGAGTAATCCGGTATTTTTTTGTTACTTTTTTGACAAATTAGCATATTAAGTTTGATTAGTTTACTTGTTATTTTATGGTTTTGACAAAATCAGAGTATTAAGTTTGATTAGTACACTGTTTTGGATAGAGACCAATATAATATTGTCATAAACACAATGAAAATCAAAATTAATCTCAATCATGAGATTTTCTTTAGTTTTGATGAAAGGTCAAACAAAACTCCAATTCCATTGTCCATGTAACATTGTAATTCTTGTTTGTTTTCTACTTTAAAGATCATTGTGAAAAACCCATTGTATCTTAAAATTTTTATGTCTTTATATATGTGACACAACAAAAGTGGTGAAACTAAATGATTTTCCCTTTTTGTTGTTTGTCTTTGAAGGCTGCAAACTACTTGAACATTCCGAAACTCATGGACTTGACGTGCAAAACGGTGGCTGACATGATGAAAGGCAAGACACCCGAGCAAATTCGAGCAAAGTTCCATATCGTGAACGACTACACTCCGGAGGAAGAAGCTGAGGTTAGAGCGGAAAACGAATGGGCTTTCCAGTGATATTCATACATATTTTGGGTTTTTGTTAGTGATTGATGTTCATAGCTCCTTTTGATTAATTTGTCTAGTTTATGCTTTTTTATCTTCTCTGTTTCTTGAACTTTATGTTTATTCTACATGAATGAGATGTGGAAGACTTGGTTTTGTTTTTATTCTAGCAAAGTATTGATTGGGTTACATTCTTTTTTTTTTTCGGTTTTTTGTTTCTATTTTCAATATTAATTTATTTTGATTGGGTGCTGATTAGTGGTTAGTGGTGTTGTTTGAGCCGGGTCGAGCTTTGTTGGAGCTCGTGCTCGATTAATAAACAAGCTTGGGTCGGCTCGTATAAGTTCGGTTTAGCTATTTATAAAACTCTTAAAAAAAAGTTAAAAAGAAGTTGATCACAAATAAGTTCTTCTAGGCTCATTCAATATACAAACTCAAGTTTTCACATTGCTCATTCAATAAACAAACTAGAGGTTTCACATCTATTTGGTTCGTTTATAACCAGCTCTAGAGCTATTGTGAATTCAAAATTTGGGCTACCATCGTGCTAATGGGCTTTCTGATATAGATATCGTTTTGCAAAATGGGCCAGCAGCTGTATAACACAGCCCACAGAAATTTTGTCCACCATATTATATTTTACATCCTGAAATAAAAAGAATAATAATCTATTGAGAATTTGAGATATATAATTGGTCCATAAAGATTTGGCTGTCATTCTTTGTCTTATTACAGATTCGTGCACAACTCAGCCACATGTTATATTATTTTGTTGAATTAAGACATATTTATAATTTTATTGTTATAATTATATACTAAAATAAATAAATAATATGTCCTCACTATATCAAAGGTGGAACAGAGTGGAAAAAGAAGACATTCCCCTGTCACAGAATCAAGTATAATTATCAAATTTACTTATTATTTTAATAGTTAAGCTAAATTATATTATCTATGGTTTACAAATTATTATATTTCTAATAAATTAGAATATTTGTACTATCAACAATTTTACTTTTATTCATGTTGTATTTTTAAAATAAATAACATTTTAATTTCAATATATGTATGTTTAAAAAATAAATATTAATTTTGTAGCAAGTCTATATGAAATATGTTATGTTATTATACATTGAAATTTTCTATGTAAGTGATAGAGCTGATTTCTTTATCAGACGTGACGTGACTATAGCTGTTTCCCACATGCTGTTTCCTTTTAGTAGCCTATTAAAAAAATTTAAAATTGAAAACAATTTTCAAATTAATTGCCAATTGAATTATATATATAAAAAAAAACATTAAACAAGAAAAAAGGAAATTCTGGACTCTTCCACAAAACAATATGCCTATTTTTGGAACTGCTTTTACTGCTCCAAATGGGGATTAGGATCCGACCCATTACCCGAATCTGCAGAAAAAAGCAAACTTTCACCCGGACAATCGTCCACAGCCTTCGCAGACAGCAAAGAAGTATCACCCACAGCGAAGGAGAACGATATGAATCGGCGCAATCCGGGCCGGGCCCAGAAAGGAAACGTCGCCGTACATGTGGCAGCCGGTTTCGGGCGCGGATCGGGCCGGGTTATCCGGGGGAGAAATGGAGAATTGGGGCGGGGCTTACAGGGGATCGAATTGGAATAGATTAGCCTCTCCATTTTCCCACAGATTTTTTGCAGAACGAGATTTTTTTTTTTTTCGTTCACTTTGTGGGTTAGTTTTGGCCCTTTGGTGGAGAGTGGGATTTAGGGTAGAAAAGTGGAGAGAAATGGATAGAGTGTGGAGTAAACCTACTCTCCGATCTGTTGGACTTGTTTGTTGTCATCATCTTGGATTTTCAGTTTAATAACTGTATATTCTTCAAATGCTTTTTTCACTTTCCATCTTTTTTTATTTCACTGTCAAATTTTATTAAGGAGTTAATTATTAAACGGTTAATGAAAAAATTATTACATTATTATTATTAATATTACTAGTGCGTATCCCGTGCGATGCACGTGTAAACAATATTAAACAATAATTATAAATGAGTATCGAGTTCTAGTCACCCAATGAAAGAAGTGGAGAACCAATATTGATCTTCTCTTAAAAGAGCAAGAAAGATATCCCTTCCCTTATATATAATTTCAGAATGCGTTGAGCCTACGTGGCTGCTTCTGCTGCTTCGGAATCCTACTTGGCGAAGAATCATGCTTCGTAATTAGGTTTGGACAAATAATATTGATATATTAATAATTACTAATTTAGGTTCGGACATTCTATAAATATTATTTAGCTAACTTAGGTATTTTAATATCACTTGTACTAATATAACCTTTTAATTCTTTATAATTTTACATAGTGAGACACTAAATGACTAATATATCCTTAACTTTTGATTTGTTTCCTTCAATTAGCTATTGAATTAAAAATATATTTTAAAAGTTGATAACTTTTGTATTTCTTATTGGTTTTACATATATAATATATCAAATTAATCATCTTTTGCTGATCTCCGATTTGACATCCATATTGTATATATAAATAAATAAATTATTATAATATAAAACAAGTAAGTCACACAAATAAAAAGTGTCATACTAAATATTTACTAATATATACATTTATTAAGGTATTTAAATTTTCACCTACTTTTTCTCATTAATTTAAAATTTTAAGGAAAAAGTTATTAACAAGCGCCAGTGTAATACACAAGCGTTGTACTAGTTATAAATTAAAGATAAGGGTAAACAATATTAAATAATAATTATAAATTAACGATGTGGGGTTAACATGTCATATAATTTACCGTATATCAGTTTATTATGAACGATATAAAATTAGCTTGTTCAAGAGAACATAAAATTTGTATGTTTAAACAATTAAAAACTCTTAAAATATTATATTAACATATGTAAAATTATCTAAACTTTTCTATATTATTATTATTAAAAGATGTGAAGTCGCCTAAAACTTGTTTAAATTTTTTCGTAAAATATATCTAAAAACATTAAAGTTTACATTTGTATGAAAGATGTTTTCTGAATATGACATGATAAAATATTATATAAAAGTATCTAAAATATTATAAGCCTAAATAAATACATTATAAAGTTTTGAAAGAAAATTTACCTAGTACATATAAAATAAATATTGCCATGATGCTGAAAATTATGACGATAATATCCTACCTGAAAAATTGAGTATAGAAGATTTCAAAATTATTATTATTATTATTCTTTTGAGTACAAAAGATATCAAAATTATTATTATTCTTCTTTTAAGTAATTTGAGTATAGAAGATTTTAAAATTATTATTATTTTTTAGTTACTGCAAATATTTTTATTATTATTCTTTTAAGTAATTTGAGTACATAAGATTTCAAAATTATTATTATTATTTAGTTACTGTAAAAAGAAATTTTCTACGCATAAAATTCCACGCCTTATGCAGATTTATCAATTTTACAAATAAAATGGGATTTATTTTATATTGAATATGGAGACTAAGACAATTTTGAAAAAAAAAAAAGACTGTCTATTTTCAAAATTATCCTCTTGATTTTTGAAACAATACATTTGTAATTTGAATTCATTATTGCAAAATTTTGAAACTTATGGAAAAAAAATTAAAGAGATGAATTTCGATTAATTTGAAATTCTTAAACCATTTTGAATTTCGTGCAAATTGAAACCTAAAAACAATGAAATTATAAAGGTTTAAGGTAATTTTTTCGGCAATCTGATTGTTTGGAATAAAAAACACAATTGAATTTTTTAAATCAAATATGAGAAAGGATTTTGAATTTAAAATTATATTCAATAATCGAAATTTTTAGAATTTAATGGAACCAAATCCACCAATTTATCTTTTAGAGGTTTAAATGAACGGTAATTTACCAAATCCACCAAATAAATGAATCGTAATTTATTTTTTTAAAAAAAATAAAATAATCCGATTAAAACAATTGTAGTAGCCGAGTTGATGTTAAAAGAGTTTCTGATTTTTATAAATACTAAAGTAAGTTTATATTATTAAATTAGGCGTAAATAATTTATTTTTTAATAAAATAAAATTTGCAATGTGGTACACGATTATATGTTAAAGAAAATTTAATTTTTTTAATTTGTGAAAATGAAAAAGGAACAGCCTAATCTTGCGCAAAAATAAATAACAAACTCCACTTAGCAAACTCCACATTAAATGCAATAATTAATGATGCACGTTTGTAAATAAAAAAATAAAATAAGAACATGCTATTAATAGCATGCAATGAATGCTCAACCATATTTGACCACAGTTTGACTTGCTATTTTTAAAAAATGGTAATAATGTTATTATCTATTTAAGTCTAAACAGTAATAATGTTATTATCTATTTTCTATCTCTTTTAATCAACGTTAAGTCTCAAAAATTATTAAGCCGCCCTACGGCAAATATGTATGGAGTTATGTGTTCGTGTCTCATAAGTCACAAACATTATGAATAACATTACAAAATATTCATTCAAACTTTTATTCATTACAAATATATTAAATTAATTTATATAACAGCCATTAGATACCACTTTCAATATATTTATAAATAAAACATAAAATTTCTTGTGTATTCAAATTTAAATAATTTGATGGGCTCAATTTTAAATCATCCATACATTTGGTCAAATGCATAGGTGTGTTCAAATTTAGATCATTGGTAGTTTCGTCGGTTGAAATTTAAATCATCTACCATGGTACTGTGATGTGTATTATATATATATATATATATATATATATATATATAATTTTTTAACAAATAATAAGTGTTTTATAAAAATAATAATAATAATTTCACAAGATTTTATAAATTAACGAAATAAATATAAATATATAAATATAAATTAATGAAAGAAATATTAATAAATTAATATATAACTGTACAATTTAAATGCAATAATTAGTGATGCACGCTTGTAAATAAAAAATAAAATAAGAACTTGCTATTAGTAGCATGCAATTAATGCTCAACCATATTTGACCACAGTTTGACTTGCCAT